CCTCCTCCCACTAGATGATGGGACACATTAAGAGACCCTTAACTAATGCGCTACAATTGGATTATAGCCATGGAAGGATATTGATTTCTCTTGTTTATTCTCAGCGCCTGGGGTAGCCAGACAGTGAATCAGATGCCTCTGACCAGAAGCAAATTCATCCATTTATCCCATTGTACAAAAACACATCTGCTAAGCATGCCATCATTTGAAAAAGGGAAGAATTGCCTTCACATAACATAACATGATTTGAAAAAGATAGGGAAGAACTGCCTTAACGTAACAATTCCATGTTCTATGTCTTTGTACACTGGGCACCTTGGATGTAGCCTGGTGCATAAATATTAGCAATGCAAGAACTCACATTTTGTGCATACTGAATGAGTAAAGAAATTGTTCTCAGTTTCAAATTGTTATTGAGACTTGGCATTCACTGTTACATAATTATTTGATTAATATGTCTTATTCGTTAGACTAAAATCCATTGGACATTGGGTCATGTTTATTTTTTGCTTACCATTGTATCCCTAGCACAATGTTTGGCTGGGGCTGGAATACGGCAGATATTTAATAAGTACTTGTCGAATAAAGAAAAAAAATAGGCCAGGTGTGGTGGCTCACACCTGTAATCCCAGCACTTTGGGAGGCTGAGGTGGTGGATCGCCTGAGGTCAGGAGTTCGAGATCAGCCTGACCGACATAGCAAAACCCCATCTCTACTAAAAATACAAAAAAATTAGCTGGGCGTGGTGGTGGAGGCCTGTAATCCCAGCTACTCAGGAGGGTGAGGCAGGAGAATTGATTGAACCCAGGAGGCAGAGAGGTTGCAGTGAGCCGAGATCGTGCCATTGCACTCCAGCCTGAACAGTAAGAGCAAGACTCTGTCTCAAAACGAAAAGAAAAAGAAAAAAATAAATAAATTATAAGACTGCCTTGGGTGGCTTAAATTAAAATCTTTTTAGAGTCTTTGTACCCCAGGTTGGCCTGTCAGGGCTGCCATGTCTTCAACAGTTCCTGAGGATCCCTATATTATGTTCCAGCTCTTCCTTGTAGTGCTTTCTACCTGCCTGGCTTTCATAGTCGCTGCTTATTTCCTGTTTACCTTGCATGTTCTGCATCTATCCAGCCATCAGAGAAAGGGCAAGTATAAACAGAGACTAACTTTGGTACTAGTCCCTGGCAGCCTCCCTCCAGAGGCATAGTTAAATACTCATCTTGCCCTCAGAACATGTCTATGGGCTCATCACAAGGTACTATAATTGTCTGTTAACCTTATCTTTGTTGCTGGAATGTTGGGCAAAATGACTAGCATGTCATAACTGCTTATCAAATGTTTTTTGATCACTCCCTATATTGGAAATTACCAATTATCACATCAAATAATCACTAAATGATCAGGTGTTATCCACAGTCAATATTGAGTCCAACAGTGAGCTTGGTGCTGAATGGGTACCAAAAAAGGACAAAATACTTCTCTGCAGAGTTCACAGAAAAGAAAAATTTTTTAATTTTTCTTTTCTGTGAACTCTGCAGAGAAGTATTTTGTTCCGGGGAAGACTGAAACAGTGTTGGGACAATGGAAAGGGTAAAGCATGTGTTTTGAAACCAAGCTTTCTGACCTTGAATCTCATCTTTTCTACTTAGTAAAGGGATGCTCTTGGGTAAGCATATCTGGGATATCAATCTTGTCACTTGCAAAAGAGAGATGATAAAAACCACCACCACTTGGGTTGTCTCAAGGATTAAGCAACACATGCATTTAAAGTGTTTGGAAGAGACCAAGCATGTTGGTTCACCCCTGTAATAACAGCACTTTGGCAGGCCGAGGCGGGTGGATCACATGAGGCCAGGAGTTTGAGACCAGCCTGGCTGGCCAACACAGCAAAAC